AGTACCGGGCGGGCGGCCCCGCCGCTCCAGCAACCGTGGGAACTGAAAGCTGGATTTTCCTGGCCTCCCGTCAGGACGTGGCTTGAGCGCACGCCTCTGTGTGTGTCCGGACTGCAGGGTTTTTTCGAAACAACTAGACCTGCCTCGAGACGACCGCCGCGGTTTTGTCGACGGCGGTAAAGCTTGTTCTACGAGGAAGCGCGCCTTTTGGCGAAAGGCCTCTTTCGACACAGGGCGCTAGTGCTTGAAAACAGCGCTTTTTTGAAAGAGAGCGTCTTGACTCGCTTTCGACAATGCGAGCCGCGTTTTCAGAACAGCTTCTTGCTGGCTAGACGCTCTTTTGCGACAGAGGCATTTTCTGTCTAAAGAGATACTACGGCAAGGGAGGGGGAGCTTGTGCAGGAGGCAAAACACAGGAATAAATTGCTTACGGGGATATTTCAGAGCAGGTTAGACAGACGCCTGCCAGACAAGGTGTATCCCAGCGTTTTTCAACCTTTTTTTATAAATATCCCCTTTTTAAAAAAAAATTATAAGTACCCCCCGTATCTACAATTTTCAGACACACGCATTTTTTGCCTCCTGTTGCCACATTTTTGTTTAAACAACTTCATCGCATCAATTTTCAGACACACGCATTTTTTGCCTACTGTTGCCACACTTTTGTTTAACCAACTTCATCGCATTCGGGCGGGCGATGACATGTTTCGGTGTAAAAGGCACAAAACTAATAAAGCGCTGTCAAACTTACCACAAACAGTCAGGCTGTGTCTACACTGGCCTCTTATTCTGGAAAATCAGCCGCTTTTCCGGAATAACTTGCCAGCTGTCTACTCTGGCCCCTTGAATTTCCGGAAAAGCATCCTGCCAATGTAGACGCGCTTTTTCCGAAAATGCTTAGAACGGAAAAGTTTTCCGTTCTAAGCATTTCTGGAAAAGGGTGCCAGTGTAGACATAGCCTCAGGTGTCTCCAAATGCCAGGGGTGTGGCCGTCCCCTCTAGATGTCTCTGAGTACCCCGAAGGGTCCTCGTACCCCTGGATGAGAAACACGGCTCTAGACCAGGGAGGTTGTGGAATAAATTGTCTTGACCGGTGTTTCTCAATCGTTTGTTATAAAGTACCCCTTTTCAAAAAAAAATGTACCTACAGTTTTCGGACACACAGACATTTTTTCTACCATTGCAACACATTTGTTTTAGACAACTTCATCGTCGCCAGGCAGGCGATGACAGTTTGTGGGGTGTCAAAAGCACAAAACGAATAACGCGCTGTCAAACTTCAAAGCAACATTCAGGTTTCTCCAAATGTCGGGGTGTGGACGTACCCTAAGGGGGCTCGTACCCCTGGTTGAGAAACACGGCTCCAGAGGGTGTTGGTGAGGGCAGGGGACGGGACGCGAGGCCTCCCAAGATCTCAGCTTCATGCCCGGTGAGTTCCCCTCGGTGTGTAAAAAGTGTCGGTTTGCGCCCGGCCTCAGGGCAGCTGTGGGGGGACGTGTGGCCCCTGAGCAGGGCCCGGCGTGTGCAGGGGTGCTGCCCCGGGTTCCTGAAGAGGGGAGGGGACTTTTGGGGGTGAAAAGGGGCCCCTTAGTACGGAGCCGTGGGGAAAGGAAAAACGACCCCGATCCGAATTCCAAGCCCCGATGGGAACGCAGAGCGCATTGCTCCGGCGCGGACCCAGCCCCAAACTTTCTGCTTGCAGGGCTGGATGTAGGGGGCACAAAGCAGGTGGTTGATTGGGGGGGGTGGCGATTTAAAAGGATCCATGTAACTGGAGCCGTGGTCCCTTTAAATCACCGCTGGAATCCTGCCCGGCAGCTCCCGCCAGCAGTGAGGGCTGTCCAGACTCCACCCCTTCCTCCCAAGGCCCCGCCCCTTTTGGGACCACGGAGCCACTCCCCGGATACCTCGCCTGGGGGCCCACGGAGGCTGTCGGCTTCCCGGTTCGGATGCGCACTCCACACGCGGGAAAGCCTTCCAGCTCCGTGGCATGGGACACGGAGCTTTACCGTGGGCACGACCCGGTCTCAGGCACTTCGCTCTACGCCGGATGGACCCCAACCCTCCGGTCAGGCCCCGGCAGCTCCATGGGACGTGGCCTCCCAATCGGATTCTGGGCTTGAAGACCAGTTGGATGGGAATCATTTTTGTCGGTGCCGCCTGAGTTCAGGGAGAGGAGGAGAACTATCGAATTTGTCAGGCTTTGGTTGTTTTCTGATTGCCCACTAGATGCCACCCTTTTGTAAAAACCGTTGGGCATGAAGAATAATTAAAAATGGTGGCTGGCAAAAGAGGAAGTACTATATTAGGTGGCAGACATGTAACCCTCCCCCCCAAATAATATTCTCTCCGAGCAAACTTCTAATGCATCTCCACTGCGTGGTTCATTTTGGCTCCAATGCCATGGAGCGTCAATACACGTTTTTCACGGGGGGAAAAAAATCCAATTTTGGTTGTGTTGAAAGTGGGCTCGGTTGTCAGGGGCTGGAAAGTTTCGGCAAGTCTTTTGTTTATCAAATACCTTTTTTGGGGGAGGGAATGAATTCACCCAAATACGTGGAAAAGGCCATTTTTCCTGGGGAGGCGGGAATAATCGATTGAAAAACGGAAGTTCAAAACACTTTGTGATTTCAGTAGCCATCTCAAACACGTATTAGGCTTGTTGCCTGAAGGAATGAAATTAATATCAATGCTTTACGTCTTCTGGGGTATGTCTAGACTACAGGCTTTTGTCGACAGAAGTTTTGTCAACAGATCCTGTCGACAAAGCTTCTGTCGACAAAGAGCGTCTAGACGACATCCAGTTCTGTAGACAAAGCAAGCCACTTTGTCGACATGAGAGTGTAGACGCAAAGGACAGTGTAGATGCACTAATGCCTTCTATCGACAGAACTCTGTCAACAAAAGGCGTTATTCCTCGTGGAATGAGGTTTACCATCGTCAACAAAACTGCTGAGTTCTCTCGACGTTATGTTGCCAGAACTCAGCGGCAGTGTAGACACAGGTATAGTTTTGTCGACAAAAGTCAACTTTTGTCGACACGACCCTGTAGTCGAGACACACCCCTGGGGTTCTGCTAATCACCTTCCCTTTTGCTTCTATGGTGAGCTCCGGGTTCCAATATTGGCATATCCTAATCCTAACCCTAACCCTAATCCCAATGCAGAAGGAGATGGGGTTAGCCTACCACCCCATAGATAAGTGTCTTGTCGTTGTTTTACAGAGGGTGAAAACGAATTCCGGAAAGCTGACGAAGCTTCACGTTTGAATGATTTATTTACCAGTCTACGGACGCACAGGCTGTGTGTGTGTGTGTGTGTGTGTGTGTCTTCCTTGAAAGGCGATCGTTATTGAGTGTAACACAGTAGCGCCAGTCTATTGTGCGGCATACAACACACAAGCAACACAACAGAGAGTCCGAAACTGCGAGCAGGCAAGCTAAATAGAGCAGAATATTCTGGCTGATTGAAAATTCCCCGGCACCAAAAAAATCCGTGGTCCTTCTGCCGAACCACAGAGGTGGCATTTATTATTATTATTATTAAAATCTCTGATCCAAGAGTTGTACATGTACACCACAAAAAGACAGCCCCTGCCCTAAAGCTCTTACTACCTAAGTGTAGGAAGGCGAGCAAAGCACAAGGCGAAAGTGAGCCCTGCCGAGTCGAGATTTTGACACGTAAAACCAGGCGGATAAGGAAGTACAGAAATTCAGTGGAAGGAAATACAGAGATTGGGTGGGTGAAGACTCCCTGGATCCGGGAATCCGAGGATGCATCTATCCAGCACCCTAAACTTGGAATCAGAGACACAATTTGCGCCACGCCAATATCGTCTCTTATTTCGATGTTTGAAATTTGACGCATCGACACGTCACCAAGTTTTGAAATGACCCGCTATTTTGAGCCATTCCTTATCCTTCCTGCATCGAGGTTTACCAGGATGGGGAAATAATATGCCTGTTAATTCAAAAAATGTTTCAAAAATGTTTGGAAAAATGTTTGGAGAATATTTTGAAAAATGCTATTTCAAAAATATTATTTTGAAAAATGTTTTGAAATGTTTCAAAAAATGTTCTTTCGAAAAATGTTTCGAAAATATTTCAAAACATGGTTCAAAAATGTTTTGAAAAATGTTATTTCAAAAAATATTTTGAAAATATTTTGAAAAATGTTTGGAAAATATTTTGAAAAATGCTATTTCAAAAAAATTATTTCAAAAAATGTTTTGAAAATGTTTCAAAAAATGTTCTTTCGAAAATAGTATTTCAAAAAATGTTTTGAAAATATTTCAGAAAACATTTCAAAAAATCTTCCCCCCACATCTCTGAATCTCGACAAATCAAAAAGACTCACCGCAAGCCCCCTTTCCCGCACTGCTGAAGAGAGACAGCAGAGGGAGGAGCCAGGTGACCCCGTCCCTCCTTCCCCGTTTCCCTGTTCCCCCTCCCAGTTCAGCGTGAGGGCGGGGAAACGAGGAAACGGGAGAGGGGAAGGGGCCGTCACTCCGTCTGGGCCCCCCTCCCAGTTCGGCTCAGTTGCACAAGTCGGTGTTGCAACAGCTGTAGTCGTAGGTAAGGCTGGATTCGTCGGGGGCCCTCACCTTGCCGCAGTTGGCCACGGAGGTGCAGTTCAGCCGGTAGTACACGGGCAACATCCCTGTTGGGAGAGAGAAACAGAGCGTGGCCACAAAAAATCGAACGAGGTCCAACCAGGACAAGGGCCGAGTCCTGCCCTTGGGACGGAAGAATCCCAAGTATCGTTACAAGCTGGGGACCGACCGGCTAAGTAGCCATTCTGCAGAAAAGGACCTGGGGATACAGTGGATGAGAAGCTGGAGACGAGTCAACAGGGCGCCCTTGTAGCCAAGAAAATCATGAGTGGTGTGGAGAGGGCGGATAAAGAAAAGTTATTTATTAGTTCCCTAAATAGAACTAGAGGACACCAAATGAAATTGATGGGGAGCAGGTTTAAAACTAATAAAAGAAAGTTCTTCTTCACACAGCGTGTAGTCAACCTGTGGAACTCCTTGCCAGAGGAGGCTGTGAAGGCTGGGACTACAACAGAGTTTAAAGAGAAGCGAGATCATTTCATAATGTCACGGCGTTGCGCAAGAGGGTTTTTCTTGCGCAAGGAGGGGCCGTGTATGCTCCTTCTTGCGCGAGAGCCTCTTCTGAAAAAAAACAGTGGCTCGTTAGGTATGCAAATGAGGCTCGGCGATATTCCCCGCTTAGCCTCATTGGCATATTACTCCCGCAAGAAGCCGCGAGTGTAGACACAGCCCTGGAGCGTTGTGTCCAGTTCGGGGCCCCCCACTAGCGAAAGGTGCCTTCCCGGCCAGTGAGTCTAGGATCCTAACCCCCCTGGGCATGTGTAGCTCACCGCCAGCGGCCCTGGTCCCCCCCCCCCACACACACACTTACCCAGCGAGGCTTTAATGTTGGCGCATCGCTCCCTCCAGCCGCAGGTCGCTTCGCCGGAGCCCTGGACGCAGCCGAAGAGGAGGAGTTTGTGTTTGCACACGTGGCAGCGCAGGGCGTGGGCTGCACCAGACACACAGAGGAAACCGTTCAGGCCGGGTGTCGGAGCAGCCCGACAGCACAAGCCGGGGCGGGCAAGGGGAGCGGTTTTCCCAGAGCCATCCGGACCCACACACAGACTATGCAGCTACGTACGGGCACCTGAAAATTTTGGGCACCACTGGGTCTATGCATAGGGGCACCTGAAAATTCGGGGCACCGGTGGGTCCATGCATAGGGACACCTGAAAATTTGGGGCACCGGTGGGTCCATGCATAGGGGCACCCTAAAATTTGGGGCACTGCTGAGTCTATGCATCGGGGTACCTGAAAATTCAGAGAGCCTCTGGGTCCATGCGTAGGGACACCTGAAAATTTGGAGCACATCTGGGTCTATGCATCGGGGCACCTGAAAATTTGGGGCACAATTGGGTGTATGCATCAGGGCACCTAAAAATTCAGGGTGACGATGGGTCCATGCATAGGGGCACCTGAAAATTCGGGGCACCACTGGGTCTATGCATCGGGGCACCTGAAAATTCAGAGCCACTCTGGGTCCATGCGTTGGGGCACCTGAAAATTCGGAGCACGTCTGGGTCTATGCATCGGGGCACCAGAAAATTTAAGACAATGGGGAATTGGACGCTTCAATCCCTTCGTGTTCCCCATAAGTGGAAGATTTGGGTGGCTGCCCCGCAGAGATTCAGGGGCCACCCAGCTGACGCGGAGAGCACCCACTGCTACTCACGGCGGACCGCCTGTGTTTGCAGAGGTGGTGCACATTCTTCGGTGCACTTAACAAAATTTATTCTGCCCCAAGGGTGGAAGATTTTAGCAGGAGCTTTGGCTGGGGCTATGGTCATGCAATAAGGGATGAAGAGAACAGGGAACTGAAGAGGGGCCAATAAACCACCCGGCCCGTATAAGCGAAACAAACTTTTCTTTTGCAGCGTCCACGGGCAAGCCGCCTCTGGATTTCGGCCTAGCTTGTCCCTGTTAAAATTCAAGTCAGGTTCTGCCCCGGACTCACCGCCGGCCAAGCACAAGAGAGCAGCCAGCCCGAGGAAAAAAACCTTCATGTCGGCAGCTGGCGATATGGCGCACACAGCTGGAGCGGGCGCCCGCAGATATTGTCAGAGCTGGATGCGTAGAGTCCTGCTGTCTCAGACCCCACAGCGTTATCCGCTGCCTCTCCTGTTACAAGGGGAGAAGCAGAGAGTTTGCAAAGCAAAAATTGTGCTACAGTAAAGATGAGTCACAGTATAAATTGCCTGTTCCGGGAACCAAAAAACCCTCAAAAAAACCTTCCCAAAAAACCCTCGGTAATCATCATATTTCCAACGCCGGCCGAGGAACACACACACACACGCACACACACACACACCAGCCTGGCCTGTCTGCCTTTCATTCCCAGATTTACCCAGCCTCACTCGGATCCTTAACTCGATTAAGAATTTGGGGTTTCTTAGGAAAATGTACTTGCGTTCTTAAAACGGCAGCATGTTTCAAAAATACCACGTCGGTTTTTTTATCACGCTCCCTTTTTTGATTTCCGATTTCTCCACCAAAGGCATTGGTTTTCCCCTGTGAATGTTTCTTAGAAGGGGGAATTCCATCCCGTGACTTTTTTTCCTTCGACCCTACAAACTCCTCTCATGCGCCGTGTTTTCGCCACAAAAAAAAAACCATCGCCAGTTTCGTGTCCGAGAACATTGTACTCTAGTGTTTAAACCTTGAGCACGGATTTAGCGACGCCGAATCTCTCCAGGTTCTCGCTATTCCTCCTGCAATGAGGTTTACCAGCTAATTCGAAGTAGGGGCTTTAAATCGGAATCCCGTTTCATTGCCGCGTGTAGACGTGGGCAGTTCCTTCGGGCTAGTGAATTTCTAAAATGGCGACCGGCCGGGAACATGCAAATCAAGGGATATTTAAATCCCAGGCTTGATTTGCAATTCCGGTCGCCCTCATTAGCCTCCCTAGATAGATCTAGGGGGCTAGTGTAGACGAACCCTTGAGAAGTAAACCCTGTTCCAGTTTCCTCCTCTTTTTTTCTGGTTCATTTTAGTTACATAACGTAAGAACAGTCACACCGGGTCAGACCAAAGGCCCATCCAACCCAGTGTCCTGTCTGCCGACAGTGGCCAATGCCAGGTGCCCCAGAGGGAGGGAACTGAACAGGTAATCCTCCCATGATCTCTCCCCATTGCCCACTAGAGACACTAGGGACACCCTCCCTACACATCCTGGCTAATCGCCATTGATGGACCTAACCTCCATGAATCTATCTAGCTCTTTTTTGGACCCTGCTAAAGTTCTAGACTTCACCACGTCCTCCGGCGAGGAGTTCCACAGGTTGACTGTGCGCTGAGTAAAGAAAAACGTCCTTTGGTTTGCTTTAAACCTGCTGCCTCTTCATTCCATTGGGTGACCCCTAGTTCTTATATTATGGGAACAAGTCAATCACTTTTCCTTCATCACATTTTCCACGCCAGTCGTGATTTTCTAGACCTCTCTCCTATCCCCCCAAGTCTCCTCTTTTCTAAGCTGAAAAGTCCCCGTCGCTTTAATCTCTCTTCTTATGGGCCCCGTTCCAAACCCCTCCGCATGCTTGTGGCCCTTTTCTGAACCTTTTCCAATGTCAAGAGATCTTTTTTGACATGAGTGACCACATCCGTACAAGCTGTGGGCGTCCTGTGGTTTTATATAGAGGCAATACGATATTTTCTGCCCTGTTCTCTGTCTTATTTTAGTCTCTGTCAACAGCTGCTCCGTCGTGTCGGTTTTCAGGACTGTTCTTGGTGATTCTGACTCTTCTCTGGTTGGAGGAGACGCAATGCCATTCAGAGGAAGTTGCAGACAGTGCGGGAGAAGTTCTTGATCAAATAGACCGGATAATCCCCCATGCCTTGGGGGACCCGTCCATAAGACGGTTGAGATAGTCACCCCGGGGTCTCCCAAAGGGGTCTGAGGTGGCCACCCCTCTGATCTGAGGTTCGGATTTTAAGGCGAGGAGAGAGAGTTGCAATCTAATCTGATCGCTACTGTAGCACCGGGTTCCTTCGCTGGAGGGGTTTCTTCTCGGCTTAGGGAAAGTCCGGGGTAGGTCAGCAAAACCGGCCAGAGACACAGGATGAGAGATTTCAGGAGGCTAGAATTTGTTTCACTCGACAGAGAGAGAAGGTTTAGAGCAGGAGGAAGTCTGGTTTTCATAGTTTTCTTTTCAACAAATCGGGGGACTTTTTCCCGGAAGGTTTCACTTGCTAAGAAAGAAAGAAAGAAAGAAAGAAAGAAAGAAAGAAAGAAAGAAAGAAAAGTTTATGTCAATAGATTTTTAGAAGAAAGAAAGAAAGAAAGAAAGAAAAGTTTCTGTCGATAGTCGATAGATTTTTATGAAGAAAGAAAGAAAGAAAGAAAGAAAGAAAAGTTTCTGTCAATAGATTTTTATGAAGAAAGAAGGAGAACTTGCGGCCACACGCAGGTGACTCGTGGTAGCGGTTGGGGAGTGTGCAGAGGTGAAAGTACGCGGGGGCGCTCGGGGGCGCAGCTCCGGCGAGATCGGACCGAGCTGTGGCGGAAGCCGACAGGGAGCTAGTGACCGAGCAGGCAGGGACCCAGGCTGCGACAGGGCAGGGCCCCGAAGACATCTGAGGTCACTCTCACGGCTAGAAGCGCACCTCCGCACAGTGCCCCTGCTAACATGTTAACTGCTAAACAGGGTGTCCCTTGTTCCTCCGGCTGGCCCTCTCCGCCCCCCTTTCCACAACCCCACGCGTGGCTGCTCCCTTGTGCCCCGGGTCCTCCGCCTCGTCGCTCAGCGTAACTCCACTGAAGTCAACGGGCCTCGGTTTCTGGACGTCCGCCAAGGCTCCTCCGGCCCGGCCTGTTTTGCAATCCCTCTTCCAGCGGGCGGCGAACGCTCAGGAGCGACTCCCTGCTCCGCTGGGCCACCGTCCCTCACGAGAAACGTCCTCGTGATCCCACTG